ACTGTCATTGGCTTGTTTAGTTAACACTCGAAGGTGATTGGGCTCTCGGGCGAGATCCCAATTCGTCAGTCATTGACGTAACGTAGAACGTGACTGACTGAATGGGAACTTACTTTCTCGGCCACCGTCAATTTATTTATTTTATATGCAAAATTTTCATCCACAAGCAAAAGTGCCTTAAATCTCCCGTTTTCATTTTTTTCTTGCTGAATTTAACTTGTTTCATCCCTCATGCTTTAAAAAACAAACACATTATGCATTATGATGAATTATTAAAATATATTAACCTTGTCATTGTACTTTTTTTCTGTGTATATAATCTCATGCTATGATGTAGGCCTACGTAAATCCATTATAATTATGTTTGTTCACTGTTAAAGATACAACCATGGAATCTTTTCCTGGGGCCCGTTCTTCATACGATTGTTGACGATTTGGCATGATCTTGGATTATTTGGTTCTTCGAAGCTCATCCTGGACTCACAGCAACAGGTCCGTAAACTTAAACCTGCTGGGGAGCAGGCTTATTTCATGTAAACAGGATTAGATTGCATCTTTTTAAGTGGAATTTATATTTAAAATCTATCCCAGCCACTGCTACTCTATTACAAGAGTACCCTACTAATCCGGGGACAATCATTTAAAATACTAATAATTTAAAATATTAGAAAATTAGAAAATAATATAATGTTAACTATAATACTATAGACACAGCCAGTTTTACTAATTTTAAAGATTTATTTGTGATAAAATAATAACTTTATATTTGTATTAGTCTTACACACATGCTGTACAGTTAATCCGAGTCGTGCATTAATTTGAGTGCTGACAGCTATTATGGGAGTGGCTTGATGGAGCGCAGGAGATACAGATAACTTGATCTTGACCCTTGAGAAACTTTAATTAATGCTATCGCATAACAAATCTGCTTCAAATATAATATTACATGAATTGCTAATTACAACATTGAATTAGCCCCTGCTGCTCAAAGGTCTCTCCATTGCTAGCCCACCCCAACACTTACGCACAATAATAATGATAAATGCTGACCAATACTTAATTATATTACACATTTTCTTGCTGAAAATTATATATTTTAATAAAACAAGCAAAATCTAACTGTTGTCATATAACTTAGCTATGCATGAATACACACGAGACAAATGTAGCCGATGTGAATTTATCAATTTTCAGTCAGTGAATTAATGCATGAACTGACAACAATGGGAAACATGAATACAAATTAGTAAATTAATTAATAAAAGTAACCATCACAATAAATAAATTAATATACAAGTGAACAACACATGAAACAAAGCTATATTCAAAGGTATTGTTCTAACAAACTATCACATCTTTACAGGTGGTGAACCCCACATCCTACTGCCATCTCAACACAGCTGTGCCAATTCTGCAGCTTTATT